TAAAAAAGGATTATAGTTTAGGGGTTCACATTAGAACATATCAAATTTTCATGCCATTTGAATGATTTTTCGCAGTTCTATGAACATTTGAATTTAGAACTTTTTTTTGTAGATTTCAAAATTTTCGCAAACTTTTGACCGGTAGTGTATATATATATCAAGTCTATCCAACAGAAACAGGTTATTTCTCAGAAAAAGCAATTATTCTTAAAGTTCGCTTGATTTGCTTATAAAAGAAAGTTAAATAAATCCTACAAAACAATAGGTAACTTGAATAGCCCAAAAAACTTTCCAATCACAATTCACAAAGTTTGATTGCGGTAAAAAAAATAAATACATAAAAATAAACTCCAAAATCGATAAACACAGAAATCTTATAAACTGCTGTTTAATAAAGAACGTTTGATATGTCGATGAAAAAGAAACAGGCTGGTCTTGAAAAAAGCTGTTCTGGACAAATAACGTTATTCATTAGAAATTAAAAAAGAAGAAGTAAAGGAAAAATATCCGATTTACGAAAGGTAATACTGTAATTACGATTCGTTAGGGCTTAACTAATGCTGTTCTGGGAGGAATTTCATTCCTTGTTTTCGAGGAGTTTTAATCTCAGAAAGAAGTAATTTGTTATTATCTTTTTTTTCTGAAAATAACTTTTCTTTGTGTGTTTATTAGTATAATATAATGGTTCAAATAAAAAATGTTTCAAGTTTAGAAACTTAATTTATTACTGAAATATACATAATTACTAAGATAGAGTAATTTATTGTTGTCGTAATTTACGGTTCCTTTCGATTGTGGGATATTCCTGACAATGTATGATCAAAATGAAAAAAAATAAATGCATAAGAATAAAGGTTTCTATTTCCGTGGCAATAAGTCCGTTTCGTATATCATTAATGCTACAAGACTACTGCCTAAAAAAATTAGTTGATTGTTTTAAATTTCTCGATCACCTTAAACTGCTCTGCAAATTAAATAATATGTTTAGATAACGCAAAAATACATAATTCATACTCATGATAATGAATTTTTATAAAAGTATGGACGCTACTACTACAGTCACTGAGCCTATATTATTTCTGGCGAGGTTCTTTACTTTCGCTACATTTCCTTTCAAATTTCAAGGAGTAAATTTTTAGATAATTGTCTTTCCTTTCCTTCCTTGAAAATATAATTTCCATGCACTGCCTTTCCATGCATATTTTTAAAGTTTTCAATTTTTTGCTTTACTGGATTTTTATTAAAACTCGAAATATTTTTAAAATTATCAACTGTACCATTAATATTGGTAGTAGCAATCTAATTCTCGCTTTTTCAACATTTTTTTTTAAATTTAAACTGTTGGAGTGTTCCATTTTCTTTTTGTTTGACGCGACCGAAGGTAGAGTTAATCATTATTTTTCAAACTCAACTGAATGACCAAATTGAGAGACAAATTGAGATTTGTGATCAAATTTTCCATTTTTGAACTTAGCATAAAACACGTTTTTTTAATTTCTTATATTTTTTTAAGATGCGGAATTCTGTCCATGCATATCACGATTATTTTGAGCCATATTTGTGACTAGAAACCTTGTCAAAATTACTCATTTTTCTTAACATGATATTCCATTTTAATATCTACTAAAAACTAACAATTAACATGAATTAACTAGAACAAACAATACATTAATCCATATCGAACAATATACAAAAAACATAACGGACTTAGAGTATTATGCCAAAAAATTAAATGACATGCGGTATATTAAAATTTCAAAAAAAAAAAAT